TTGAAATTCTGAGGTCTGCTCTGGGAATTTGCAGAATTGACTGATTAAAGCAGTTGGTCAATCAGAGAGGAGTGGTGTACACGGGTCAGTATTACGTTTTGACTTTTTGAAGACTCCTCTCTATTTTTGTTAAGTGGTGTTATTTTGGCCTTAATGATATCTCAAAAAGATATTAATCTTTTTTCAAAATTCAAATGTCCTTGGGTTCCATTTCCTTCCTAAAAAGAAGTTGTACCGTTGTGTCAATCAATCGCGTCTGCATGATATTTGACAAGCCGCATTGATTAGGGTTCTTCACCCTTTAGTCTATTTGATACCGGGCCAAGAAGAGAACAGGCTTTCAAGCATCTCAGCACTCAAACCCTTTCTCTCTCAGCATATCTGCTCTCAGTATTGTATTTCTCTCCTCTCACAAAAATTTCTCCAATGGCGGACCCGGTAAGAAATATCATCATCAAGCTCGGAAGCAAGACACATTCTCCGGAGGTGGCCCTTAAGCACATTCAGACGCTATTGCAGTTTGCTATGAAAAAGAAGCTCAAACTTGATCCTCTGCTTCGCGATGAGATTTTAGTAACTATGATGACCTATTACCCAGAATTTTATGCAGAATGGTCTGAAGATGATGCGACTAAACTGCTTATGATGGTTTCTGAAGCCAGTGATGAAGTTTCTCCAGTATATATTCCAGAACCCTCGGATGGAAATCGGGCCGGGGCATTCCTTCAATACTTTGCACATCGAAACCCTAGAATTGGTTGAGGTCTCTCGACGGCAAGCGGAGGCGCACTCTCTGTATCTCGAAGCTGCTCAGAAAGAGGCAAAACACAGACAGGAGATCCTCCGAAACAGGTCAAACAATTCTGAAACCCCTATTGAAATTTCACTAGATAAACCTGATGTTTCTACTACCCCATCTTGTGTGCCTGCTTGTTCTGAAAATTTAACTGTTTTGGATTCCGAGAATCCCCCTGTGAATGTTGATTCTACATCTCTGCCTTTGAGTAAGTCTGTTGATGTGAAAACTGATGTCTTGCCTGTGTCTGATGAGAAAGAAAAGTCCTCTGATGAGCCAAATAAATTGAGTTTAGTTGTTTATGCTTCTGATAATATTGCTCTGCCTCCGGCTGAAATTGCTGATGACCCTAAAGAAGTTTGTTCTGTCGTTGACACTCCTGTCTTACCTGCTAATGTTGAATCTGTTGATCTATCAAGTCCCCACAAGTCTGAGAAAACAGGTGGAATCCCAGTCTACACTGCCACATCATTAGGCGAAAGTTTGGAACATGTGCGACATTTTGCTGGTCTACCATCTGCTTCAATCCCTCAACCGTATCAAGTGATTCACCCTTCCGAATCTTCCAGCGAAGATGATAAAATACTGGCTGAAGTGTATGGATCTCAAACACTTCCATCTAACATTCCAACTATTGAGGCCACTGCTCATCCTGACTTCACGACCTTCAAAATTCGAGAAATTTCGAATATTATTGGGAGCTCATCTGCCAATGTTTCTGATTCCAGTCATTCTGTGACTCCTGTTCAATCCCCATACAAAGAAACAAAAAGGTCTAAAAGGAAGAATGTTCCAGTAAAGGTTGTTGTTGAGACTGGTAATAACAGTGCTGATGTGGATCAGCCTGAGAAGAAAAGGAAGTCGAGTGAGGGTGTTAAGCCGGAAGAAAATCCGCCTGTTCAACAAGCATTCAAGACTCTGCGATCATCTGTTAAGCAAAAGGGGCCTATTGTTCAAGTTACTTCTGTTCCTGCACCATCTGTCAAAAAAGGGAAGCCATCCACACGATCAAGAGGACGAAGCATTACTCCTGAGGTTCAACCTGTCAAAGAAAATGATACATCTGTTTACAGGCTTCAGTTTGTTTCTCCTGCTGCTCAGACCAAATGGTCTACCATGGTTAGAAGGGATCTTATTGTTCAACGATCTGTGGATCAGAACCAGCTGAATTCTGTATGTGACATTTTACCTTTGCTGAATGAAGTCGGATTGTTGAAGACTGTCACGAACTTCTGCCCATACTCTAAGCTTCTCACGTATGAATTCTATTGCAATCTCAATGACGAGATTGACATCCTATCTGGGCCACGACCAATGCAGATTTTCATCAGAGGAAGGTGGTACGTTTTTAGACCGGACATGATCAATGAATACTATGGTTTGACTGATGTGCAAGAAGACCCTGTCACTGACTACAACTTGGTGGCCAGAACTCTTACTGGTGGACAGACAAAATCATGGCCTACAGGAGATAAGGACTATCTGCAGAGCTCGCATCTCACATCCAGATATGTGATTCTACATCGGCTGGCCCTTCACAATTGGCTCCCATCAGCCCATTTCCACACTATTGGCAAGTTACTGGCAGGCTTCTTATTTCGCATTGGAACGAAGATGCCAATTGATATGGGAAAATGGATTTACTATCACATTCTTACCTTAATTCATCCACGGGAACAGAAGGTAAGACTACCCTTCCAAAATCTGATTTTTGGCATTCTTACCACTCAGGGTCTTGAGCCTATGCCCAGTGAGGTGATCAGCCCAACACTGCTCTATACTGTTGATAAACGTCTGCTGACTGGAGATCACATTCGGGATGTTGTCCCTGTATCTGCCCCATCCAATTCTGAACTTGATGCTGTGTCTGATGACTCTCCTCATGCTAAGGATGTTCAGCTTTCCATACAGTTGAAGGCAAGGGTTGCTGATCTTGAGACAGTACATAGCATTATTGCAAAGCAACTGACAGGGGCCCGTACTGAGCTGGCAACTGTACTTCTTCGTTTAAGCCTATCTGAATCTGCTGCTGCTCCTGATCCTGCGAAGTCTGACAGTGACACTCCCTCCAATGCTTGACCTTTGGCTATCATTGGCAAAAAGGGGGAGTAGTATGAACTCAGGGGGAGTTTTTTGTGTTTGAGTACCTTTTGGCCCTGGCTGGGCGTTGTTATTGATGGCACCACTTTTTGATTTTGATCATAAATTTCTTTAGATCTTATGTTTCTGTTTCTATTCCCTGTAATCAGATCAGACTTATTGGGTTGCTTCCTTATATTATCATATCTTAGTTCGTTATGATGTGTCTATCTATATAGTTGAGTTGTTTTGCCAAATAATAGCCAAAGGGGGAGTTTGTTAGTGTTTTTAATGTTCAAAAACCTCATATTATAATTGGCGATATTATTATGGCATAACTAAGATAGGTTTAGAGTTTGTCCGTCCAGCTCTACAGTCGACTGATCAATCAGAAGCAACAACAGAAGGACTGACACTGAAGATCTGATTTAGGAAGCTGATTTCTAAAAGTCTTACGCGGTATTATCAGACAAGTTTGGAAAGAAGATCAGCGTATATTTTCAAGAAAGGTATGGACCTAATCTTCTGAGATTACATTCCTCTTTTATAATCCTACCTTCTACAATCAAAGTCTTTTGTGGAGAGAGTTTATTGAAGAATCTATAAGTACCCTCACTTGAAGAGATTTAGGGTTACGCCGAAAATATGAAGAAACACTCCCCATCTGCTATATGAGATTAGATCTTTGATTGTCATGTATCTTCTCAATACAATATGTTCATGGTGATTAAGATGATGAACTTGAGAAGAATCACTGCTGCTTAAACGAAAGGACACTGTGATCACACTGTTGTGGGAACAACTATAAAGAGCGTCATTGAAGTGGACTGCATCAGAGTGGGCTCTCCAAGTGAAGGGATTTCATTGGACTTCTGTATGCATGGCTCTCCATCTTCAACAATCCACTAAACCTGCGTAGGCTGGGTATGTACCTTGTGTGGGGCACTTGGGTAAGATTATTGTATATCTACCTTTGTACATTGGATTATGATTTAGTGGATTGGACGCCTATGTGATCGTCCCCCAGACGTAGATACACACTGTATCGAACTGGGTAAATATTCTGTGTCGTTGGGTTTGTGCTCTTATCTTTCTCTTACATCTTCTCCACTATTTATTATTACTGACTGACTTCGTAACTGAATCAATCAGTAATCTCTGACAGTTGCTTAATTCTGTTAATCTATCTAAAAAGAGAATATGCAAAATTACAGCCTAGTCAGCCGATTATCTATTGTTCTCTTTTTTTTTTTTTAAATGGGTTATTTCACTCAAAATGACATCGTTTTGAGCAAAATAACCCTAAATAGTTCAAACTCTAAATGTTTTTAGGTTAATATTTAATATTTTAGTATTAATTATTAAATTATTTGTAATTTTGCATTTCCTCAGTTTAAGATTATTATTAGAGATAATTGACTGATGTATTGAACTCACTGATTCGGAGACGTGAATTGTCAGTCAGTTAGATAGATTGCAGATTAGTTTGTAGAGGAAAAACTAGAGAAGATAATAAATCAACACATACGATGTTTACCCAGTTCGATACAGTGTGTATCTACATCTGGGGGACGATCACCGAGGCGTCCAATCCACTAACTCATAATCCAATGTACAAAGATATAGAAACAACAATCTCACCCAAGTGCCCCAGACAAGGTACGTACCCAGTCTACAAAGGTTTAATGGATTGTTGAAGTCGGAGAGCCATGCATGCAGAAATCCAATGAAATCCCTTCAATTGCAAAGCTAACTCTGATGCAGTCCGCTTCAATGACGCAGTCCCACATTGTTCCCACAACTGAGTGATCTTCGAGTCCTTTCGTTTAAGCAACGATAGTTCTTCTCAAGTTCTTCATCATAATCACCAAGAACTTATTGTCTTGAGAAGAGACATGATAATCAAAGATATGTGTCTCTGTGTAGCATGGAGTGTTTTCGTCTTCTTAAAACCGTAACCCTAATTCTTGACCGAATAAGGATACTTATTCTTCCTTGGTAAGAACACTCTCCAAAAATATCTTTGATTGTAGATGGTAGGACAATTTGTGAAGAATGCAATCTTAAAGATTCGGTCCATACCTTCCAAAACAGATCCGCTGATATTCTATCCAAAACTGTCTTCTTAAACCGCGTTCAGCATTTTGGAAACATCTTCCTTTATCAGATCTTCAGTGTCAGTCTGTCTGTTGATGAACCTGATCAATCAATCTTCTGTAGGAATAAACTGACACCAAGTTAAACCCTATCTTAGTTTGCCATAATAATATTGCCAATTATATGTTGGGGTTTTTGGAGAAAATAAAAACACTAACATTATTAAATAGTTTAAAATTATCAAGTCTTAAAAAATTAAAAAAATTTAAATAAAATTTTTTTAAAAAAATAAAAAATATACGGACGCCTAGGCGTCCAAGAAACGCCTAACGATGTTTTCAATCATGATTACTAGCTTTTAAGCTAGGCATGCCAGACAGAGCCTTAGAAGTTAGTAGGAGTTTCTTCCTTAAGAAAGATGATGACAATGAAAGAAAAAGAAATTACGAGTATGTTCATGTTAGTTAAAATTTTTCATTTAATGTTATGCCAGCCCATGTTAAGGGAAGCAATTTGATTTTAACTTATAAAATATACTAAGCTGATTTGTAACACCCCCTAATTTCCATGCTACATTAAATCTTAAACATGCAGATAACTAGCCAAAACATCATACACAGCGGAAGACTAAATAGAGATTATATAAATAGGAAATAAAGGGTGCTATGTCGCGCCCACCCAAAGGTGAACGCACAGGCAAAACATCTGCATAATTCACAATCTAAATTCGTTCAGAAATAGGAGTACTAGCGTCTAACATTGGCACACAGGCCACAACATCTCAAAACAAAGAGATCTAAGCTAACAGGTTCTAGACCGCGCTCTCGTCTACTCATCACCTGAAAGAAACACATAAAATAAGGGACAGCGCCCGGTCAGCGAATGATGCTGGTAACCCACCGATACATGTGAAATATCATATGTAGGTAGTTAATATATATACAAAATCATTTGCGAAACGGGATATAGTATATATCAATTTCAAAAGCCAAGATAAAGATCAACACAAGACTCAATACACTCTCAAAAGATAAGGGAACACATCCCAATACGACAAGAAGCAATAACGACTCACAAGAACGGCTCAAGGTATAATCTACCATCACACAGAAGATTAACACCCGACATGCATAACACAAGAGAATAAGGACACACCCATTGGCAACACAAGCCTTTGTGGCATCACACGTCACAAAATAGAGAAATACACAACAACAGCTACACAAGCCTTCGTGACATCACCCATCACGAATTGATATGCCTTCCTTATGCCTGGTTCCAACCTTATGGCTACCCCAACCTTATGTCTAGTTCCAATAATTACCTCCAGGACCCCTGTACACCAAGTCCAACCATTTTCCTCCGAGGACCGTCGTCCCCATCCGCCGACAAACCGCCAACAAAACCACCGATTTCATAGTACACGAGGGTACCGATCACACACATGGCAACACATGCCTCCAAAGAAATACGTGAACCCGACACACAGGTCACAAACTCCATAATCACGTCATGGCCACCACGAGGACCACTGCCGTACCTTGGTGACTAATGTCCCATACCATTAATCGTGCAATCCAGGTACAGCCACACACACCACACCACAACAGGAATCAATCAACAGATCACAACGAAGATATAAAACCTTACTCAATCAAGGAATGGATCACCGTCCAACAACAACGACGATTAACACAAGTCATCATCAACCAATAGGAAAGGACAAACAACACACACGCTAGCATTTAAACACTGAACTAGCATGCTTATCAAACGGGTAAACCAAACATAGTTCCGAAGAACACACAAGACTCATCACGGTTCAACGAATCACAATGTTGAACACTTAGCACGATTCAAGACACCAAAACCTACATGGATCCCTACCATATAGTTCTAGACATACGAAATATCAAGAAGACACTCAAATAGTTCCACAAAAGAACATCGGGAAGTCAAAAGACCAAATACCGAGTCAAAAGAATCACGGGGAACAAATCCCCGCCCAAGCCACATATGTACCCCGCGGGTGGGCCCACGGGTAGACCCCCACCCGTGGTTCCGCACGCGGGTACACACCCACAAGCCACCTTGTACGCCGCGGCTGGGGTGGCGGGTAGGCCACTGCCCACCGTTCCGCCCGCGGGTACATACCTGTACACCAAATTAATCCCTTCGGGGATTTTCAACACCAAGCTCAAATTCAAGTCCAAAACATGCCAAATCTCACCAAATACAACAAAATGACTTGAATAAAAGGAATAGCCAAGCAATGACACACATGAACCCTAAACACAAGCTCTAGATATGCATTTTCACAAGACAATGCATAAACACTCACATTTCATAGCAAAACACATGTAGAATCCAAGAAATCATCATATAGGTAAACAAAATAGATTTTGTAGAGCATGGGTTACCTCTTGAAGACTTATCCTTCACTTACAACACTCCACAAGTCTCCCAACAAGGTTCCCTTTCCACACCCACTTCAAGAACACACCAAAACAACATAAAGATTTCACCTTTATAAAAAGATACCTTAGAAAACACTAAAAACACAAGAGGAGCTTAGATCTTAGCCTCCTAGATGCTCAAAAGTATGAAAGGTAGAATCTTGAAAGCAAACTTGAAAGATCTTGGTAGCCCTAGGTGTGGCTTGGAGAGAAAGCTAACTAGCTTTTAGAGAGAAGAGAGAGGGCTTATGATTGAAGAAATGAAATGTGTCTTCCTAGGTTAGCTTGAAAGACTATTGTCAAGGAAATGTCTCATTTACCCTTACTAAGATGAAATGTGTAAGGGAACAAGGGAACAACTCACAAAGCTTAAGGTACAACTTTTGACTTTGGGTTGACTAGTCAATTACTAGTCCCGGACTATTGAATTTTCAGGAATTTAAGGAATTAAATTAGCAATTGGATTATGATTAATTTCTTAATTAATCCCTTAATTGAATTTGGATTACAAGGTGCCACATGATTGGTTTAAACATTGAAATCATAATAGTAATTGAAATTGAATACTTGGTAAGGACATCTCCAATCATGGAGATAAGAGGAAGAGAAAGGAGGAGAAGAAAATTACTTTTGGAAAGAACTGCCTCTACAGAGATAATTCGTGAGAACGTGTGGCGTGCGAGCAATACACACTAATTATGTGGTGCGTGTTGCTCACCCGCCACAAAGACGCCCAAATTATCAAAAAACACTACAAAATCAAATATTAAGAATTTAAACCCTAACAAAATTATAGACTAAAATTGAGCAATTCGGCAAAGCAGATATCAAGAACACACATGCAACCACATCCAAAGATTCAACATAGCAAACAACGCAAATAAAGCATAAGGAAAAAAATAAACATTAAACAAAACATGGAAAAAAAAAAAGAGAAAAAACAAAGAAAAAATATGTGACCGACCTAGTCTCGGAGCCTCTAATGTGCCTCCAGTACGTTTACTTCGCAGGGGGATGCCATGGTCTACCATGAACAATAACGTCGAGCTCCAAGGCAAGAAAATAGATGAAACCTTTTGGGATACAAAAGTAACAAAACTGAAAAAGGATAGAGAGAGACACTGGGGAACACACAACCGGCATTTGCGTAGGGGAAGAGTAAAAGTCAGGCAACAAAAACACACCAAAAATAAAAACATATCTAAAGTTACACAAATACCCCAGCCCCCTAATCATCTATATATATATACTCGCGGGAAAAAAAAAAACATATGGCTAATCTATTAATTACCATCAATCTACACCATTCATTATTAAGATCCAATGAACCATAATTGTGCTCATCATCCTCCATAATATATGTGTCCTCATTTGAATATATATATATATATATATATATATATATATATATATATATATATATATATATATATATATATATATATATATATATATATATATATTCAAATAAGGACAAATATATTATAGAGGACTGTGCAGACAGGTGTAGTCATGTGCCATTAGTCTGTATGTCGTGTGCATGACCTAATGTAGTCGTGTGACATAGTTCGTATGTCGTGTGCATAGGTGCATTCATGTGTCATTAGTCTATATGTCGTGTGCATGACCTAATGTAGTCGTGTGACATAGTTCGTATGTTGTGTGCATAGGTGTAGTCATGTGTCATTAGTCTGTATGTCGTGTGCATGACCTAATGTAGTCATGTGACATAGTTTGTATGTCGTGTGCATAGGTGTAGTCATGTGCCATTAGTTTATATGTCGTGTGCATGACCTAATGTAGTCGTGTGACATAGTTCGTATGTCGTGTGCATAGGTGTAGTCATGTGCCATTAGTCTATATATCGTGTGCATGACCTAATGTAGTCGTGTAACATAGTTCGTATGTCGTGTGCATAGATTTATTAATTAATAGAACGTGGGTTCGAAACCTGATGTTTACGTGTATGTTTGTGTGTCATTGTATATTAAATTGTGTGCATGATACTAATGTATCGTGTGCCCATTGTTTGTCCGCACAGTCGTCTATATATCACTGTCCTCATGTGAACACGGGTTGCGTTCACATGATGACAGCAATATATAGAGGACTGTGCGGACAGATAATGGGCACACGACAAAATAGTACCATGCACACAATTTAATATACACTGACACACTAGCTTACATGTAAGCATCAGGTTTCGAACTCATGCTCTATAAATTAACAATGTGACACGACATACAGACTAATGACACACAACTACATCTACCCTCACGGTCCTCTATAATATAGTTGTCATCATTTGAATACACTTATATATATATATATATATATATATATATATATATATATATATATATATATATATATATATATATATATATATATATATATATATATATATATATATATATATATATATATATATATATATATATATATATATATATATATAGAGGGATGCACTCAGGTGCGAATAAGTGCCCAGGAAGGAATATGCGAACGAATCAGCGCGCGACACGTGTCCAGATCTAATATCTTAAAAAAAACACGGTGGCATTTTCGTAAATAATTGAACATCGAAGTGCAAGTAAAATCACTTACAAGTGCACCTATTTTCACCTATAAGTGCATGTAATTTT